TATTTTACATAGGTATAAATATATATATATATATATAAAAATATATATAGGTATATATATAAAAAAATATTTTCAAAAGTAATTTAAATATAGTTTCACACATGCACACACACACATATACATATATTTGTATGAGTTTAGATTTTTTATGTTTATATAAATAAGTTTGTGTGTATATATATGTGTGTGTATGCATATGTGCATATGTTATTTAAATACTTTTTAAAAATATTTCTAAATAAGTAATATTTAAAAATATTAAAACAATTTTAATTGCATATAATTTAATAACAATTTAAATATAAATATTTGTGTATGTAATGTATGTGTAATTTATTTTTTCAGTGTTTTTGTTTATTGTGTGTGTACATATATAAATATTATATTACATTACATTACATTATATTATATTCACACTTTTGTACTGTAAAGTGGATATTTTCCATTTTCCATTTTACAATTTTATCACCTAAACAGCTGCTTTTAAAAGCAGACCCCACAATAAGTTCCTTTGAATAATTACCGCATTTAATTATCCTGCTATATTTATTGAATATGCCACATGTCAACACATACTCCAAGTAAGTGTATCCACAGGCACCTTGTGAAAGAGCCGTGAGATCATTTGTAACTGCTAAAATAGTTTTTTTTTGTTTTTTGTCTTTTCCCCCCTTATTAGCATTTCACAGATGACCTTTGCACCACACATCTTACATACATATGTAGCGTTAGCCGTGATGGGTAATTGATATGCATATTCTCACCAAATTAGTGGGACAAAAAAAATGAGTGTGACACTTCATACGAAGTTGAGAGTAGAAGTGTCCCTCGAGCTGTCAAACCCACAGCTAGACAATGATGGTTTTATCAAATTCTTGCCAAAGGAAAGAAAAAATATAACTTGCTTTTGTTTTTTTGTTCTTTCCTTTTATAAAATCAGTTTATGACAAATCATATTACTTGAGTTGTTATTTTAACTGCATTCAATGACAGCTTCTTTTATCAAAAACAAGAAGGAATGAACTCATCACAACATAATTAAACAATTTCGCGGGGTTTTTTTTTTTTTTGCCGTTTCTCGAGAAATGCTTGCGAGTTCAGGTAAAGCAACAAAAGACTGGTTGTCTGGTTTGGTTTAAAGAGGAAAAACACAGCAGAAAAGAACAACAGCAAGCTTAAAGTCTTCCAGATTCTCCTGGTAAATCCTCGGCGAGGACTCGCAATCGTCCAAGCAGCACAAATATGACAGAACAAGGTTTGTTTGGTGTTCATTGAGACGGTCTGCAGGGTTGTGTTTAGCTCGGGTGGGCTCACAGCAAACCTAAATAGCCACTTCTATAGTGTATTCACAAACATTGGCCTTTTGAATAATGCAGGCAATGCATTAATAAAACTACAAAAATAATACACAGCTAGGAGCAGCAATGCGGCCTGACTTATTTCCTGGTTCTAATTGTAGAAGTAAATTTTTTTTCTACTTAATATTGGAGATTAACTTAATCATTATAACTATTTTATTGTAATTCATTTTTTTTTTTTTTACCATAGCATGCTTTTTGTGTTTTTAGGATATATGTAATGTAACTTTTATTCTTTTGGCACATGACCCCAATGATTTATTTTTTAAAAATACTTTTTGTATTCCATTTTTATATTTTATTTTTAATAATAATTATTTTATTTCCTACATTTTAATTTAAAATGAACTGTTTTAAATTTATTGCATACAATTTATAGTTAAATCATTATTTATATGATGTTTTTCTTTAAATTTTTTACTTTTCTTTTTAGTCCTTATTTATTTATTTTATATATTTATTTATTTATTTTTTGCAAAAGGTACTTTATTTCAGAAAAAGTGGATTCCTAGATTTACTGACATACTTCAAGATGAGCTTCAACCATAGCTTTGTTGTGAACCCACGGCATATTGGAGAAAAATATTTGAATCATGCCGTCCCCACCGACAGCGGCCACCACCACATAGATTCTGCCTTTTGAGTGAGGTATTAAGTTTATAATTCATGATCAGAGTTCTGTCTCTTTTCTGATATGATAGCGAATGATTTAAAAATAGCGAAATTCAAAATGACCAGTGCACACAAAAAGAGATGAGAGGCCTTTAATAATGGCCCAGAGCTTCCCCTTAGATCTGCTAACCTTTAATCTCTGGCAAGAAATGGAGATTAAAAAATCACCTTCAATGGCTGACAAATTAAGAAACTTGTCCTTCCCCTCCTCTTCTGAATATGTTGTGTGCTGCCGATAAGCAACTCACCTTTTGCTGAGAACGGCTTGTGTTACATAAAGAGGCTGTAATGAAGAGCTTCTTTAAATGCTTAACGTACTTGATTAAGTTGAAATTGTTAGCCTCTTTCAAGAGCCACTGGATTCACAGCAAGACATGCATTCTCTCTTTTACTAGTTTTAATATGTAATTCCTAGTCACACTTTATTTTAAGGTCCAATTCTTGCTATTAACAAACCATTAACTGACTTTTGCCTCAAACTCCTGATTTGGTGCTGTTTAATAGTTGTGTTTAGCTTCTTTTAATGTGTTTGTCTGTGATTTCTAAATGCTAAACATGCAAACCGATAAATCGTCAAGGTTAATTCTGTACCCAGCCGCATGACTGATCTGCTTCCTGCCATGTCTCGGCTTTTTATCTATCTCTCTCATACTCTTTCTCCCCCTCCCTCTCTTTTCCTCCCTCCCTCTATTTTGTGCCTTCATGTGGCAGTTGATAAAGTTACGTGAAGAGGTAAGTGCTGCTCTTCCTTCCCGTTTTGGTCTTCTCTTTTTCCCGTGGATCCTCCATTCATTTCCCCCCTTCTACAGAAAAAAAAGGCCTAGTCTGATTTTAAAGTCTCTTTTGATTGAGCTCAAAATTAGGCTCATTTCTACATACTGCCCTATGAGGAAATGAATCAAAGCTGTTTCACACCAAACCTTAAAAGATTTAATCAGCTTGTCAAAACATTCACCCAAAATGAAAACGCAATGAGACATGCTGTTATCTGGAGATCTGGATATGCTTTTATTCTCTTTTAGTGATGGGTCATGATGGTCAACTATTCGTCCAACACTATTTGATTAGTGAGGTTAACACTATTTTTTCCCCCCATTAGCATGCTGTGCTTTAGCTGTTAAGTAGTCTGCATGGTAAAATTGTGACTATATTTAAACAATATATTTAATTAAAAATGTCAAGTTAAAATATTATCACAGTTTCATTTAACCATCTAGCTGTTTTTGCATCTTATAAGGCTGATATTATATTCTGTGCTATTTTGTCTTAAATTTTAAACAATGAAACAATAAAAATAAGTTGTAAACTAAAAAACAATCAGTTAAAATCTATATTAATTTTGAGATTTGTTAAAGATTATATTTAAACAGTCTTATTAAATCTTTAATGTTTTTAAGATACATTTTAAGTGAATGTTAGATGACAGCAAAAGTAATCTAAATATACATAGAGGAAATTAGCATATATATATACCATTCAAAAGTTTTGTTAGTAATTTTTATTTTATTTTGTTTTTATTTTTTGAAAAAAAATAATGTTTTTATTCAGCAAGGATGCATAAATTCATCAAAAGTGTCAGTAAAGACATTTATAATGTTAGAAAAGATTTTGTCAGAGAATCCTACAAAATTTTCCACAAAAATGGTAAGCATCACAACTGTTTTCAACGTTGATATAATAAATGTTTCTTGAGCACCAAATCAAGATATATGAATGATTTCTGAAGGAGACATCAGGTGACACTGAAGTAATGGCTTCTGAATATTCAGCTTTGCCATCACTGGAATAAATTACATTTTGAAACATATTAAAAATATAAAACATTTTTCTTAAATTGTAATAATATTTCACAATATTACTGTTTTTGACTGTATTTTTGATCAAATAAATGCAGTCTTTTAATATAAACATAAGGCACGGTTTTTCAGAAACATAAAAAAATCTTGCTGTCCCCAAACTTTACAATATGTTAAGTGCTAATTTCATCTATATGTGCAATTAGATCACCTTTGTAATATGTTTTACAGAGCATTTATTTTGAAAGTAATACTTTGAAGTATTTTCTTACTTAAGTAGTATGCAGCAGGTGTAAACTCCTTTAACCTAAACTCCTAAACTCATTTACACCATATAAAATAAAGTATATTTAAGTGTTTGTTTTTTGGCTTTTACCAGTAATTTATTAGCATACATGGCTTTAAATATAACAGAATTGTGGATTTACAGCCAACTGCCGAGTTTTCTTTGTGCACCATTAGGAAGCAGCCCACAGACGTTTCCCCCACTCAGCGGATGAGAATGCAATAGCCTGCCTTTTAGTTCGAGATAAGGGGACGATTTGTAATGTCTTTTTGTATTTGTACCATTCATCTGACTTGGAAGTGAGCATGTATGTGGATTACGGCAAAAGAGGCCGTCGTCTCGATCTGCGTATGCTTGTGTGTACGTTCGCTCGCCGGTATCTTCATCTCCTGTCTAGGGTTGTGTGTGTGTGTGTGTTTTGTTGTTTGGATTTGGGATTCCCCTATTCATAGACACATGCAGACACACACAGACTACAATATCTGAAGATCTTCATTCATAAAGGAAGCCTCCTCTCAGTGGATGACTGAATAGCACTGCATCATGCTTCTGCCTGCCTTTGTAAAGATGTTTAGTAAGTGATTGCTTATCTTTGAAGATAACAGTATTTACAATGCAAATTTCTGATCCTTTCTATCTTGAAGAAATTGTAAAGGCGCATTAAATATTTATGGATGGAAAAATGAAAAACCTTATCTTCGCTTCTGTCATCTTATGAAAGTAAAACGACACTTGCATCATTTTACTAATTCATAACTACTGTAAGTATGTGTCATCCTGTTATGTACTGTAAAAAATAGCAACAGAAATTCAAATATAATGATCTAAAGTGCCTGATCATTTTCTGTACTCTTCCACATCTCAAAGCTACACCAGAAACATTCAAGTAAACAATACAGAGCATGCTAGAAGATCATCTTCGCTCAAATAGGAGAAGAAATTCAGCAGTGCCTCTGCTTTGGAGGATCTTTGTAGATTCTTGTGTCTGTGTGTGTGTGTGTGTGTGTGTGTGTGTGTGAACATCAGTATATTGTTTAGATTTCTTCACTTCCTATTGCTGAATAATCCCATTTGTGGAGCCACACCACCTCCTGCATTTATAATTTACAGCCCCTCACAGTTCTGCGTTCTTTGGTACCTTGACTTGTGTGTTTCTCCTTTTTTGTTATTGTTTTTCTCACATGGCCAAACAAAATGGGAGTATAGCATTTTTTCAGCCTTGGGTCAAAAGACACCTTCAGTGGGTTCAGCCGCCCCTTGTTTTTACCCCAGAATGTGTATGCACTTATATGTGTATAGCTGCTTTTAAATCACTTTTTTTTCTCTCCCATTTTACTGAATTTGAATCAAAGCAGCTTATACACACTTAGCCTGTTTTTAAAACTGTACTTTTCCTCAGCTGGAAAACATGTTTAAATATTTAGCACCCTTATTCACAGCTGTTTGACACTTGTAATTCCTTTTCTTACAAGTCCCAAACAAACGGTGGAGAAGATCACACATAGTCAGTCTGAATCATAGCTGTCATCATTATTCACTTTGACTGTAACCCCTCCCCCCTCCCCATTTGAAATAATAAGGAATCATCAAAACTTTAGAAAATTGCGATTGTAAGCGCTTGTGTTTGATTTGAGAGAAGGGAAGACGATTCTTTTGAGTCACATTCGCATTGTTCCTGGGTTCCACGTTAATAACTTACAACTGAAGTGCGGTTCTTCACGAAAGAAAAAGAAATGGCTAAGAAAAAAAACAAACAAAAAAATTCTCATTTATAGTATCTAAGAACGTCTTTGTAGAAAAAGTGGGTGTCAGATAAAAAGGCATACATACATTGGCACAAATGAGAAGGGGCGCACGCAGAGGCGGTCGCAAGCACACCAATATTTATCATGCCCTCTTTAAAAGAAGCAGCTGTTGAACTCCATAAGACCAAAAAAGAGAGAAAATTTTGACAGTCCTGCCGCTCCAATAGTGAATAAATCAAGAAAAAAGAGGTTTCTTTTATTCAGGTCATTTTGGTCTATGAAAGTGAGTGATATGCATCTAGGACTTTTATATGTCTAACGTGCTTTGTTACTCATAATCATCTCCTTACGGGTGCGTTTGGATCCAAAACGTGGGACGTTTATCGAAAACAAATCCGCTGGAGCAAGGTAATTCGTTTTGATAGGTGATTCTTTCACATTTTCAGGAAGTCGCCATTTCTCCGCGCCGTTGTCGTCACTGCACCTACACGGCCACCTTCGCTGTTACCTCGGTGTGTGTCACCCCTATTCCCCCGCACCCCACACACGTGCACAATAGACATCAACAGCCCCCCCTCCCTCAGAAAAACAGACCGACTGAGGGAGTGAGAACGAGCGAGGGAGAGAAATTCAAGAAAAAGCTTTGAAGTGGCTTTCCGGCGCGCGAGTCTGCTGGCCGTCTCCCCGAGACGTGTCACCTTTGCCGAGAGGGAATAGGAAAATCACGTTTCGAATGGTAATGATAACATACTAATCACTTGAGCTCTTTGAAGACGGGGTAGCGAGCTACTCTGTCAGTATCCCCGGCTGCCTTGTGCTTCCAGGCACACAGGCACATCCCTGGTCTAGGTGTATTAGTTTAAGCGGTGCATGTCAATACGTCCCCTCCATCTCAGCTGATCCAGAGGGGCTCATTAGGCAGAGATGGCTCCCTTTTCCCCATACGCACTCCCACCCCTGTTCTCTCCTCTTTCTCTATCCCTCTCTCTCTCTCTCTTTCCCTTTCTCCCTCCCTCTATCTCCCACGAACACCCCCTCCCTTAAACTATTTAAAAAAGTATTTCAGCTATTTTAAATGACATCTGTCAACCGAGAGGAGGAGAAGAAAAAAAAGTTCAGACAGTTTTTTTCCCTCTCTCTCTTTCCCTTCTCTGTGATTGTCAAACTTTGAAAAGTGGAATGTCGTCTATTTCTCTTTTCATTTCCTTGGAGTGATTAGCCACTACGTATTTTGACAGGTTAACTAGAACTGGAAACTTGTTTCTCTCGCTTTTTTTCCTCTGTCTTTATTCTTTCTGTGCATGTAAATAGGAATAAAGGTTAACGTCCTTTAGAAATATAGTTGCCTTTCTCTATTATGTATTTACAAATAGAAATGCAGTGGTCTCATTTAGTGTTCACAGTCATAAATGATATGACTTGCCAGAAAATAGTGCACGAATCTTAGTTTTTTAGTATCTGCAATGGGGTTCAAAAGTTTAAGACTACAAAGTTTTAAGAAAGTTTTAGGATTGTGCCAAATTTTAAACAAAGAAAGGTATGATGTGAAATTAATGAGAAATATTTCAGATTCTGAACAATTTTAAGTCACTAATACATGTGTAAATTTGTGACATTGATCATGTGAACAACTTTTTACTGACTGGCAATGTTCCATTGATGCACAAGATGCTCTTTGGATCATTCTCAAATCATGCTGAATCACATGATCATCAGGTTTTAAAGGGAAAAAAATGGGGACAAACTAAAGACATTCTGAAATTCATTTTAATTCTTCAATTTAAGTTTTCACTTAAATATATTTTTTACAAGTGAACTTTTGGACCCCACTGTATTTAATTTTTAGCACTTCTATATTTACTTTTATGAGATATCTAGTTCTATATAAAATACACTACCATTCAAAACTTTGGGGTCAGTAAGTTTTTTTTTTTTTTTTTTTTTAACTTATTATGAAATTCCACAAAAATATTAAACGGCACTTTTTTCAACTGTTATAATATTAAGAAAGGATTCTTATGCACCAAATCATCACATATGCCATCACAGGAATATTTAAATATATTCAGTTTTTATTTAATTATTTATTTTACAATACATTTTTTTGTAATTGTAAATTGTAATAATATTTCACACACCGTTATTATTTTACTGTATTTTAATGTTGTTGTTATTTTATGTTCTCAAAACATGAGTCTGAGAACACTTCAGTGTTTTCAGTATGGCATCATTATTTGAAGGACATGTGTGCTGCCCACAGTGTGCAATATGAATGCATCTGGCCCTTGACCATGATGTTCATTTTAATCTTACATTTATGACTTCTGACTTTGTAATTCTGTAACTCAACACAAGACGACCCAACCTTTCCTTGAAAAAGTTTACACACCTTGTTGGTTTGCATTATTTACAGTGATCCCTAAAACATCCAAACTGCACTGTAGAGAAACCAGCAAGTGTTTAGTGTTTTAAAGTGTCAGCGTTCTCAATAACCTTTTTCTACTATAAAGAACCTTTTGCGCTATGTAAAGCTTCCATGGATATTTAAGATTTTAATTGAACCATAGATGCCAATAAAGAACCTTTATTTGTGAGAGTGTACACAACAAATAAATAACATAGTGTAACAAGGTTTATGGTGGCATCCTGACCTTGTCAGACTAAGAGATATTGGGTAATCTGAAGCAACATTTGAAAATATATTACAACTCAATTAGCCATCCCTCCCATGCTAATCTTTGCCCTGGTTTTAAATGTGATGTAATGAGATCTGGCAACACCTTCAGAACAAAGCCACTGCAAGAAGGAAGCCTCAATTAAGAAGAAAGAAAGGTGTTCGATTGGAGATCCGTCCTTTTTTTGCTTTGGAATTTGCACGAAGATCAGTCCAATTTATGAAAACGCAACTTATAATTAGATGTTCTCAAATCCATGTATAAGTTAAATTAAAACTAAGTGGTCTGTACCCTTTTGTCCTAGTGTGTCTGCTATTGTGTGTTGAATATGTCTCTGTAAATAATGTCCCAGTCTTCTCAATCACTCTCATGGTTTTCTTTCCATCTGTGGTTTGTTTTCAGAGAGCACATCTGTTGGACAACACAGAGAAGCTGGAAAGGTCATCTCGGAGGCTGGAAGCTGGCTACCAGATAGCAGTGGAAACCGGTAGGCATTCTGGGTAGGGGGGTGAGCGACAGCAAATTGTCTCGCTCGTATGCGCGGTAAAAAGAGAGAGAGTGGGGAAAAAAACGCCTTGACGACTGGTGACATTTTCAGGAGCACATCAAAGAGAAGCAAGAGGGAGAGAGGTGTAGAGCAGCAGCCGCAGTACTGTTAGGCTCACACAAAACACACCACCTTATTTCCATTCACCTACCTGTGCGTGTGTGTGTGTGTGTGTGTGAGAGAGAGAGAGAAAGAGTTTTTAATATGGGTACCAAATGATGGCGTGTTGACTAGAATAAACAACAACAGCCTGCCTCCACCGTCCTGCAATTTTTCAAGCTAAATAAAGACCGAGATCTTTTAATAAACTGATTTCTAAATAAAGCACCTTAGACGTCATCTGATTCGCACCTGTCTGAAGGTTAGTTTTTATCTTTAAATACAAGAAAATGAACTAATTTAGATCTGAAATAGATTGAATCAGCAGTCTTTTTTTTTTAGCCTGGCTGTCACCGTGTTGTTGAAGCTGAGTGTATTCCTCAGAGACGTATCAAAGCTCATTCTTCAAGAAGCTACTGGCTTTCTTTGGCTTCTGTCTTAGTTTTGAAAAGTTTGTTAATTTACACTATAATGGCAGGGTGGCTTGTGCGCGACGTCGACACAGTTAATAATTCAAATCAAGAAAGGGTTGCACAGACCACTGGCGTTTGATGTCTCGCAAGAACAACTCACAAATTCATAAATGCAATCTGCATTCCCTGCCGCTGCAAAACGTTTAATTTATTTTGGATCCTCTCAAGCCCGTGCTTCATTTTTTTTTCATTCCTGTCCTGCATAAGATTATATATATATATATATTCAGTTCACCGAATGAAGGCCCTTTGTTTTTCTGCTATTCAGACATATTTTTTTACTTATGTCTGCCCAATTGAATTGCCTGCTTCTCTAGTAGATACCAAAGCGGAAGCCCATACACTTCAATTAAAGTAATAGAGTATTAATATATATATATATATATATATATATATATACTTGTAAAGTCTATAATGTAATAGCATAGTTAGAATTAAAATAATTGTTTAAATATTTTTTAAATTACTATAACATTTACTCTATAGTTATGATCACATTTTCTTCATCATTTGTATCACTTTATTTAAATAAGCACTGAGCACTAATAATGCACAAAACTGCTTAAGATTTAATTGTTTCATTATTTTAAATTAATTTGTAATTTAAAACAACTGTTAAAACCTGGATTTTTTTATTATAATGCAAAAATCTCCTAGGTTTGTAGTAAAACTGTGAGGATTCTCCATATTGTATTTATTTATTTATTTATTATGTAATTTGAATCTGATTTTTTGATCGCACCTACACAGTGTCAGTGAGGAGACTGTGTGTGTGTGTGTGTGTGTGTGTGTGTGTGTGTGTGTGTGTGTGTGTGTGAGTGTGTGTTTTAAGGGTGTTTTAGTGTGTGGTGCGTTCAGTCCAGCACTAGCAGCATGTCAGGAGCACTCCAGGCCCTCAGAGAGATATTGAGAGTGCTCTCTGGACATGCAGAGCTTTTTACCAAACTGTTTGTCTCATAAATAAAGTATGGGTCTTCATTAGGAGAGGGCACCCACTTTAAAGCTGCCTGAACCAGAGGCACGCCGGCCTGAAGAGAGCCTGGAGTACAGTAGGAGGGAGCAAAGCAGCCAATTTAAAGGCATTTAAATCAGAGATGTCCCAGAGCTCACTAGCGTTAAATAAACCCTAATCAAAGAAGTGCCTGGCTGTTTATGAAAGCCAAGGAAGTGGGCAAAAGATGTTTTGTATGGAGGAAAATAAAATACCTAAGGGGTATAATTCTGTTATTTGAAGAATTACATTTTTTGTTATCTGTCACATTTGGGGTTGTTGAAGGATTTCAGAATATTTAGTTGTATTTTTTTCCTAAGAAAACATTTTAATCAGTTTGTAGAATGACCTCAAAATCTATTAATTAATCAAAATTAATTTTAACGGAGTGTCCGATATAAACAAACGAGCCGCGAGAACAGTGTCCGTAAAGAGCAGAGCGGTGGCCTTTGAATACGCAACAGCCGCTGCGGCAGCGGATCGATGGGGCAAAATGAAACCAGCTCATTAGGGATTGATTTCAGCAGTGTTTAGATAAGCAGAGTGGGTCGGGGCCTGGCCCCTGGGGCCCTCACCAGGGCCCAAAGTTCACGCAGAGCCAGGTAGAGAGTGTCTCTGCAGGCCATCATCTTTATTAGCACCCAGATAAGCTGATTAGGCCTTGTCAATCAAAGGTGCCAGTGACTCAATCGCGAGGCCCTTCTTTTCTTTCTCTCTCTCCTTCCTTTTTTGTGATAAATCATTGAAGCGACCAACAAAGCAGTAGCCATGGCGGCTAAGCTAAGCAGCCCTGCAGTTGTCACCAAGGCAGACGACGCAAGGACCCTGTGATGATGTGACGACTGTATTAAAGAGTACATCAATTTGTTTGAGAGCGGTTTGATTTTTTTCTGCAGTGGTATTAAAAGAGCATGCGAGGGGGGAGAGAAGTTATTGTTGTCGTAGGCTTTACGGAGGAGCCGAGAGTGCCCCCAATAGAAATAAATAACAAAATGAATGATCGAATGAAGAGATAAATAAATATGTTTTGTAAACATGAAGAAACGCTGCTCCTTTTGAGCATGAGCACGGCTTTAAGACATGCTGTGTCAGTCCATGGGTGTCAGAGTGTCCCAGTAAAAGACACGCGATTGTCTCCGTCTCTCCGTTTCACTGCCTCTAGCTCTTTTTCTTTCTCCTCCATGTTACCGTTCTTTCATTTTCTTTCCTTCATCTCTCTCCTCAACACTTTCTGTTTGTTTTGTGCCATTTTATGAAACCGATAACTTGTTTCTTTGAATGGAATTCCCTTTTTTCATTTCTTTGTGTTGCCATGGCCTTTTATTCTTAAGCACTTTAAATGTTTATTATTATTATTATTATTATTATTATTATTATTATTCAGTATAATTTAATACCAATAATAAAAATAAAATAAAAAAGGTCAACATTAAGGTGAGCGCATTCAATAATGTAATGAAAAGTTGTTAATATTTTCAATCATTTCTTAAAATAATATAATATTTAGTTATATAATATAAAGCGATGTTGTAATAATAATGATAATAATAGTAACTAAATTAAAAATGCCAAAATGAAATTGAATGCATTCAATAATGTACTGTTTTTTTAATATGTATTTTCAGTAATCTCTTAAAAGAATATATTTAGTTATATAATCTAAAGTTTTGTGGTAGTAGTTTTAATACTATTACTACTACTACTAATAATAATAAATTAAAAATGTAAAAATGAAATTGAATACGTTAATTAATGTGCTGAAAAGTTGCTGTTATTGTTCAACAATATTTGAATAGTCTCTTCAACTAAAATTATATATTTAGTTATAATAATAATAATAATAATAATAATAATAATAATAACAATAGTAATAATACATTTATAGCTGTTTGTGCTGGTTAAAGAAATATTTTTTATCACACTACATTCAGTTTGCTGTACAAGTAATACCTCCTCTGTAATTAATTGTTTCATTGCCTTTTATTATTTATTTCAGCCTAGCTGTTCCAGTTGATTTCCTTCATTGTATAGTCGTGTTTAAAGTTTCAGCACATCGCTACTGTTCTCTCTTTAATGAGGACAATTTGGTGAAGTGGATTTCCTCGAGGTATAGCATACCAAATAACTTGGGTTTTTTGTAGTTTGCTGAAATCTGAATGGCGTATTGTGTTTCAAAAAGAATATGCCGTTATTTGATAATTGTTTGATTCGTGAAGCAGAGCCACAAGAGTTAAATATTTCAATAGCAGAGTTTGCAGATATGCAGAAAGGAGAACTTAGCTAGAGTGGATTTTCTAAAGACAATGGTGGGTTTTTGTGTTGTAATGAGGGAATTTTCTCATTGAAAATGTATGTTTTTTTGGGCTACAACTTAAGCCTGTACTTCAGAAGTTTGAACTTATATATGTTAGAGCTTTTTAAAAATGAATACACAATGTAAATCTCTTGTAAAACATTGATTTAAAGAAATATGTATATAAGTGATGGGATGTGTGCCTGAGTGTAATATAAGGTTTTCGACTCTGTAAATCTACCTACGGGTGAGCTGTTTATCGTGAAACCCCCCGGCGGATGAAAGGCGATGAAATGCGATGAAATAATGATTTTTTTTTTCTCTCCTAATCGGGCCTTGTCAAGCGAGGCGTCTTATCGTGGAGAGGAAAATGACACCGATACTATCGAAGAGCCCAGAGTCCGAGTTTGTGTTGTTCCCCCCCAATCACGCCGGACCCGGCCTCGCTGTATCTAGCGCAGCCACAAACGGCAAGCGCCGCTTTTTTCATCTGGACTTCAAAAACGGTCCCCGTCATTAAAATTGCACCCGCGTTCGGCTGCAGGGATCAGCCGCTCCGGAGCGAAAATGGGATGTGGGAGAGGAGGCTCGCTAAATGTGCTAATTCTGTCCTCACATGTTTACGGCTTAATTTTAATCGGTTTGAGCGAGGGTGGAGGGGGGGGAGTGAAAAAAAGCCTCACATTGCAATAAATCGCCATTATCTTTGACACCGAAGGACTCAGCTGTTCCAAGGATTTTGGAGTCTGTGAGCAACAGTATTATATGGGGAAACACAAAAGTGTTTACGCTTGAATTGCGGTGGCCGAGGTGCACTCACTGATTTCAGCGCGTGTAGACAAAGGGCCAAACTTTCACAATGGCAAAGCCCACAAACAGGCTCTTAATGCAAGAGCTGAACCAACAAACTTGACTAGCCGGTGTGTTTGTGTTCGCATCTATCTGTTTCTGGGATTGCCAATAGAGAGTGCAGGTGTCGACTTGTTGATATATTCCAATCGGTATTTCGATATTTGCTCATGTTAAGTGCGATCATTGACTGTTGAGTCGCCTAACGCAGTTTGAGAGCTTTTTTCCTTTGGGG